GCTGTACAGGAGATCATGGTGGGTGCTGGTATGTTTAACAGTGGGTGGATGGCTTACCATCCATTGTTCCTGATCAGGCATCTGTGCTCCTACACAAGTCCATAATAATGTGTCACTGTATCCCATTTGTTTATTTCCCGGTTTAAAATATTGGAGGCCAGATTGTAATTTAACTAGTCCAAGTGTATGTTTTTAAAATGATCAGTTTGGAAAAAGAAAGGAAAACCTTGACACACGGTGGCTTTGTTACTGCTTACTTAGTACTGTGCTGGACAATGTACCTATGTAAAAGTAGACCTTGCCGTTGGAAGAAATTAATCTCAAATTCTTTCATGCGGTGTACAGTGTTATAAGATTGTCTTGCAACATTCAGGATTTTACTTAACAAACAGACCATGGCTACTTGTTTTTATATAATTATCCTTGTGGCTGCAATCTTTCTTGTTCCACCTGACCTTGGCATGGCATCAAGAGATCCCTGAATTTTCCACTTCTTAATAAATGATTGAACAGTACTGGCTGGCATTTTCAAGGCTTTGGATATCTTTTTATATCCTTTTACATCTTTTTAAAGTTCAATTACCATGTTACGCAGGTCTTTTGACAGTTCTTTTCTGTTCCCCATGTCTCAGTATCTGGTCTGTTCAGCGCATTCGGGTGAGAGGTAACACACTCATTGACTATTTCTACACAGACACTAACGACAATTTAACAAGCCACAGATGTGGGAAATTAACCTTTGTGGGAAATTAACCTTTGTGGGAAATTAACCTTTGTCATTTTAACCTGTGTGTGTGTTACCTTTTGTGCCTGTAACAAGGCCAACATTCCAAACATTTAAACTTTTGATCAGGGCCATTTGGGTGATTTCTGTTATCATTATGATTTAAAAAGGAGCCAAACATCTATGTGATAATAAATGGCTTCATACGATCACTATCCTTAAATAAAATAGTTTTTGGGCATGATCAGTCAAATTTTCAATATCAATGCCAGGGCATGCAAACTTTTGCCTAAAGACATGAACACATTCCTTCACTTTGAAAGCATATTATTTTGAACAAATGTACTATCCGATGGTCTATGTAACACACATGCTCCTAGTTAGGTAAAGCTATTAGTGACTACATACAGACATTTGGTTCAGTAGTCCAGTAACTGGGCCATTTCCCTGGTATACCTGCCTAAACACATGAAAACATTCCATCCCTTTCAAAGCATTTTATTTTGAGCAAGTGTACTATGGGATGTTCTATGTCAGTGGTTCTCAACCTGTGTAACCTCAGGAAACACATTTGTCCTTTGTCATTAAGTTGCGACCCAAGTCGAACTGCAATTGAACACACAGCATTAGGGTACTGCACGTTCTGCTGCAGGCATATGCACTGTGGGTGGGAGTTGCATTGGGGCACCATTCAAATTAATGGCAACGCAACACACACCCAGCACCAGAATGCACGGCAGGTGGGATTGCGTGGTACAGTGTGTTCATCGCAAGATACTATGTGATTAACACTAGTGTAAACAGGCTCTCAAAAACACTGGCATACATACACAACCACAGACACAATCTCACACACTCACAGACATTCTCACACACAGACACACTCCAAAAAAAATTTAATTTTTTTTTTTTTTAGCTCCACCCAGTCTCCCTACCTTATGAGAACTGGAGAGGGTCCTCAGCCTGGGGTCCAGTGTGGCCTGCTGTGCTGGAACTCCATCCATATGTGCATTGCTTGTACAGCTCCCTTACGTGCCCTGTAGAGGTGTCGGGAGCCAGAATGTGACATCACTCCAGTCCAGGCACCTCTACAGGACATGTGAGAGAGCTGTAAGCAATGCACGTATGGATGGGGCTCCCACGCAGCCATAGCCCCATCCTCTCCCAGCTCAAGCTAACAGTCAGTGCCGGGCAGCATATTTTGAATGGCTGCTTAGCACGACGACTGACAGTGCTGCGCAAGAGGGAGGCTGAGGAGCCTCTTACCTAGAAAAGTGGAAAGCATGGGGCGACACACTCAACCCGGGGTCGCGACCCACTTTTGGGTCACGACCCACCGGTTTACGAACCAAGGGTCTATGTAATGCACATACACCTAGTCAGGGCCGGCCTTAGGTCTTTAGGCGCCCTGTGTGAGAAAGCTCTACAGCACTCCTCAGTGACCACACCCCTCAGTCTCCACACCCATCAGTGGCCCCACCCATTTTTTCCCAATATCCGCACCATTTAAAGACTCCAATTTTGTTAAGCCCCAAAGAAACATATTAAAAAGTATGATAAAAATAAAACTTTAATTCAAAGGTATTAAACTTGTAGGCACAATATAAGTATTCTTATTACATAAAACAACAGAAGGCAAACAAGTGATAAACTATAAATGCCAAACTAAAATAGAGCCTATAAAAATAAAGTGTCAGGTTGTCATAAAGACCCTTTTATCATGTAAATGCATTTAAAAAAATAAAAACCAGAACACAAAACCTAGACTAGGCCACCAACGCGTTCTGCGAATGCGTGCCACCAAGATGTGACATCATGCTCCACGCCTCCAAGATGGTGGCGTGGAGCATGATGTCACATGATGTCATGTGTGCGTGGCGTCATATGCCGATATAAGAGCCGCCATCTTGGTGTATACCTAGATATACACCAACATGGTGGCGCCCAACACGTGTGGTGTTATATGACGTCATGTGCCCTGCCTCCAGAACACGCCAATGGCTGAATCCAAAATAGCATAGCAATGTGTTTTGTTTGATGAAACGAATGAAAACATTTTTAGCAGGGCTGCGGAAATTAACGATTAATCCCTCGATTAATCGTAAAATTTTTTGATCGATCAAAATTATTTTGATCGGTACTCACCTCTCCGCCGGCTTCCGGGTCTTCCGAGAGTTCCGTCGGAGATCCGGTGACGTCACGGACATCGACGTCACCGGACTCCTCCTTCCCTTTCGTTAGCCGAGGAGTTCCGCCTGTTCGAGGGCCCGCAGCTCCTTCATGCAAATCCCCCTCCGTCCCCCGTCGCTCTGCCACCCGTAGCAGTAGAATGTACGGCAGCTGTGCGGGGAGAGGAGGCTGTGTCGGTCGGAGAGGACCCTCTGGCCGCCGAGATGAAGCAGCTGCTGCAGGAGTCAGGTAAGGCTGGGTGAAAGCTATATGGGGAAGGGGAGGTTTAAACTGGTGGGGGCGCGAGGGGGGGGTTTAAACTGGGGTTATGCTAATTTAGTATTAAGTATTGCTTAGACTTGTAGTCCTGTATAGCTGGTGGTGTTCTGCATTGATGTATAATGATTATACAGCAATGCTGAATACCACCAACTATGCAGGACTGCAAGTCCCAGCAATACATTATATTAAGTAGGGATTCACCTGTGCCAATACTGGGCATTTTCACAAGCACTCGAGAAAATGACCCAATACTAAACGCAGATACCGGCACTGGCGAAACTACCAGGGCTGCATCAGTCGCATTTGCGACCGGGCCCTGGTGTTCCGCCAGTTTGGGGGGCCACGAGAGACCAGAACACTGACATTGATTTGCCATGTGTTCCGGAGATCACACTGCGGCCGGGGGGGCGTACCTGCGTTGGCATTGACTTTAATGCAACAGCACGCCCCCTCCCGCCCCAGAATGCAGTGAGGTGGCCGGCATGCGATCCAGTGCGTTCCAGCACGAATCGGGCCGGAACGCACTGGAACTGGTGTGAACTAGCCCTGAAAGTCATAACTTACATAGAGGGGAATTTATCGAAACTGGAGCAGACAGAATCTGGAGCAGTTACCTATGGCAACCAATCAGCATCCACCTTTTATTTTGAAACCTTAACTGAACAAACTGAAGAGAGAAGCTGACTCTCTTCAGTTTGCTCCAGATACTTTTGCTGCAGTTTTGATAAATTCCCCTCATACTGTTTGAGTGTGTGTGTAGGCCAATGTAGTTGGATCTGTATGTGCGTTATAATTAATCGAAATTAATCGCTGAAAAAAAATTTTGATTAATCGAACAGGAACATTTTCATCATTACCAGCCCTAGTTAATAATTAAAGTAAAACATTTACTATCACCAGTTTATGAATGGGGAGGAGCCTCTGTAGTGAGTGCTTCTCCCCATTGAGAAATTAATTCATAACTGGGGACACGTAGTACTATGTAGAGACAGAGACACCGGCCCTCCAAAATGATAAGCAAACGTCAATTTTATGACGGGCAGTATAGCAGATAGCAACGAACGTTTCGGGGTCACAGAGGATCCCCTTCCTCAGGCAAAGGGGATCAGGGATCAACTGACAGGATGACAGCGGCTGCTCTCTCTTCCCGCTCGGCCGTCCTGAAAGCTGGGGCTTCTCTCTTCCACACCGCTGACCATCCGACATGACAGCGCTCCCTCCAGCTCCCCCGCAGGCTTCAGCTGACTGAAGAGGGGGCGGGCTGAGGAGGGAGCGATGGCATCACATGGCCGCACAGCTGGCACACCCCAAAGGCCGGCCCTGCACCTGGTTAGGTGAACCATTAGTGAGCATACACAGACATGAACACATTCCTTCACTTTGAAAACATTATTTTTGAGCAAGTGTACTGACCTATGTTCTGTGTAACACACATGCACCTAGTTAGATGTGATGATATACAGACATCTGGTCCACTATCTGGCCAGGTACCATAGTTCCCCATTTCCCTGGTATACATGCTTCCTTGCATACACATCAGTGACAGAGTCAGTGTCCTAACCAAAGATGTGTGCAGTGGTTTATTAGAATCCTAGAGCCACCGATTGGCTGCTGAGAGATGTGTAATGGTCTATGGTCTTAGACCACAGAAGCCTCCTTATTATAGGACTGGAGGTGAATGGTGAGGGGGTGTTGGCTTCGTCTGACAAGTCCAGAGACGAAGTACAGTGCACACAAGGAGGGGCGCTGGATGCAGTGGCAGGCTGCTGGTCCCGCTCAGGACAACAATCCAGAGGGGATCACTATGCGGCTTTGACAGGCGACAATGGGCAGGAATCAGGGTGCCTGGAGACGGCAGGTGGCCAGAGCCCGTATGAAGGCTCCTCCATCGGTGACAGCGGTATGGCAGCCCCTTCCAGTGTGGATGAGACTGTATTTCTATGGCATGCACGGCCTGACCCTGGACGTACTGAGCTCCTGCCTCCGGCGTCTCCCCAGCCAAGACTACAGCCTGCTGGGCTTCTCGTCGCCCTACCGCTGCCTGCTGCACGCCGTCGCCCACCTGGCCCTGGAAAAGATCTACGTGCAGAAGAAGAGCTTCCCGGAAAACGGCTTGGCGTTCCACTTTGTCTTCTACCCCTCCGTGTTCGTGGGCCTGCAGATCCTGCTCCGGAAAACGCTGCTGCAGTGCTACCCCCAGGAGCTGCCGCTGAGCCCGGCGGAGCTGGGGCTGCAGTACGGGCTGGCCGTCTATTACTCGTACGGCTTTCTCCGGAGCTTCCTGCGGCTGCAGTATGAGCAGAGACCGGAGGGTGCGGAAAGCGGCCGGCGGCTGCCGCTGGCGCTGCGCTTCGTCTTCTACGGTATGCACGGCTTCATGGACGAAGTCTTCTTCACAGCCGCCTTCAACCTGCTGGAAAAGCCGGGAGACCCCCTGAGCGGGCACACGTCCCTGTGGTCGTTCTTCATGTATGGCAGCTGCAGCCTGGTGGTAGAGAAGCTCTACTTCTACCTGGCATGGAGCAGAGGATGGGGGTTCCGGAGGAGGCTGCCCGTCTATATCGCCTTTGTCTACACCTGGGAGTTCTGCTGGGGCTTGGGACTGCGAACATGGGACGCCTGTTCCTGGGATTATTCGCACTATCCATTGAATTTCATGGGGCTGGTGACCCTCATGTACCTACCGGGCTGGGTATTTCTCAGCTTCTACCAGGATCTGCTGTCCAAGGTGCTGGTGCGGATACGTTATGTCTAGGGATGGGGTGGATGATGGGGGTCCTGTTCTCATCACACACCAACAGATAGGAACTATTACTACAAAGGACTACTACACTTCTACAGGACAATTCTATGCTGATGCCAAGGTTAAACAAACCAACTTTTATATTAAAGTGTATCTCTAGGCCAGTGGTGGCGAACCTTGGCACTCCAGCTCTGCCAAAACTACAAATCCCAACATGCATCTGCCTCTGGGAGTTATGTCTGTGGCTGTCAGCCATGCAATGCCTCATGGGACCTGTAGTTCCAAAACAGCTGGAGTGCCAAGGTTCGCCACCACTGCTCTAGGCAAACCTTTCATTTTAGTTCTTGGTAGAGTGGGGAAGAGTAAAGCTGGTCAGACACCGGTTGTTTTTGGGGATGAATGAGAAAAAGTGTTTGATTCCTCCATCTACGCCAGGGATCGGAACCTCAAGCCCTCCAGCTGTTGTGGAACTACAAGTCTCATGAGGCATTGCAAGACTGACAGTTACAAAGGCAGAGGCATTATGGGAAGTTAAAGCACAGCTGGAGACTCGGAGTTGCCCACCCCTGCTTTACTGGATCAGTGTAAAGAGCATACAGACAGCGCTGGATTTACTCTCTTTTCTGCCCCAAGGCCAGGTTCCTCAATGTGCCCCCCTCCCTGCCAAACCCAATAACCCACCCTTCCAATGGAGAATGGCAACAAGATGGCAGGGTTGGTGTGTTTTAATTTTTTTTCTTTTTCATTTAATATTTATTTCATTTTTACTTATTTTTTTAAATTTTTATTTATTTTATTATGTTTTACTTTTTATCTATTTTTATTTTTGTTTAATTTTTTTTCACTTAACTTTATTGTTATCACATGGGAGCTAACACGCCCCTGTGTGATAGAATTTGGAGGTGACAGGTTATCTTTGTTGAACCTGTCACATCCAATACAGGAGTTTGAGCACAGCACTGGCTCTTCTGTGACAGCTGAGATGGGAAGGCTGCGAGTGCAGCAGGCTTATTACAATTGTGCTCAGCGGAATCCCTGAGATCACTTGTACAAAACGAGTGGCAATAGGAATTCCACACCCCTGGGGCCAGTGTTGGCTGTGCCGCTCATCTATTACCTGCTGCCCTGAGGCCATGGCCTCGGTGGCCTTGTGAGGAATTGCACATACAGAGTGCAATAACTCATAGCAACCAGTCAATTACCTTGATGATGAATGAACGATTGCTGATCTGTTTCTTTGGCCACCCCTGATCTACTTTAAACAGTGTTGATGGGGGAATCCCCAACCCCCAGGCTATTGTATTCTAACAACCAGCAAGTGTACCTCTGTCAGAATACCCTTCCAGTGACTACTGCTAATCTGGGAAAGAATTTGAGAAAGTTGAAAAATTGGCTTCTCTGTAAAGCTGGCCATACACCTATAGATTTTCTGCAGATTTTTTTTATGGTCAGATGGAAACTGTGTGGATGGAGGAATCTCCCACTGGGCCAAGCCTCAGTATTTTGCTAGTCGGCCCTGCTGGCTTCCCAAATACATGAATAAATCCTGCATCAGATTGTTCAGGTATTTTGAGAGCCGGCAGCAAGATATTGAAGCTTAGCCCAGTGGGAGATTCCTCCATCCACACAGTTTAGTGTAGATGGAGGAATCTGTTGCACTTTTTCCTTCTGACCCATAGAAAATCTGCAGATAATCTATAGGTGCATGGCCAGCTTAAGAGAAGGGTATCAACAGGGTCACACTCTGGTCAGCAGGATTCTCTGAAATTCAAGCATTGTATGGCCAGCTTTAGACTCTGTGTTAGGTTTTTATTGCTGTGTCTCCATTGGGAAGGTTTAGCCCTCTATTTGTTCTAGGGACTTTTGTCACTGAGAAAAAAAGGGGAATCCAACATTTTAGAGTAGTCCCCAGAACAAGAGGTGAGGGAAAATCTTCCAATGGGGACACTTGTTCTAGGGACAAATGTCTAAAAGGGGAATTCCCCTAATTTAAAGCATAATCAGTCCCAAAAATATAATATATTGAAGGTTACCAATTCTTAAATGTGGTGGCTGCATTTGTTTTATTTTTTTTTAATGTTTTTTTCACCAGGTGATCTGGCCAGTAACAGTTTTTCTTTTTTAGGGTGGCTTCTGTCTATGGGGGAGCATTGGAGTCACCCTTGGACAGCAGCTTTGCCACCCTGTGGAGAGGGTAGTGTTAGATGGACCAGCAAATTTAGATGGACATGGCTAACAAAATAAAGCTGAACTCTTTTTAAGCTATTACAGCTACAGTTATTTTCCTTTTGGGATAAAGGTTTTACCTAAATGAAGAAAAGCTGACCATTGTAAGCCCCCCTGTCACTGGTAAATGGTTTGTCCCAACCATCTATCTGACACTTTAGCTGGACAGCTTGGTATGTTAAAGGAATTTTAAAAATAACAGACATGCTGGACAATCACAAGGTGAAAATAAAGGGAGAAAAAAAGCCTAAAAAAAAAAAACTAACGTAGCTACCACATCTAGGAATTGGTAAGCTGTAATATGTTTCATTATATTCCAGCTTACCAAATATACCCCAACAGGGATTTTAACCCTTCCCGACTATATCCAAAAATGTAAAAAGTTTTGGCTATAGATAAACTTTAATTCATCAACAATGAGCAACCGAAAGTCAGTCTTTTTATACAAAGCATAATAATAGACTTTGACAAAGTAGATTTCCAATACATACATTGGACGTTTTTGGATGGAAACATTAGGTGAACAATGGCCTATTCATACCCTTTCCTGTCTGTCTGATAAATCAAAGTTTGTAATGTGCTTGTAAACTTTTTCCTGATGAATTAAAAGAAAACCAATTCTAGACTGTGTTTCAGCTGTGCTGTAAGTGCAGTGATGGGAAAGATAACACTGAATAGGAGCTCAGAGCATTTAAAATAAAGACTCTTTTATAAGAGTTGCTGCATTTGTATCTGAGGATGGTGATTGACTTGAGTTAGGCCTCTTTCACATGGGCTGATCAGGAGAGGATCTGTGCATGGGTCCTCTCCTGATCACAGCAGTATGGAGCAGATGTCACGATTATAACATCCATGTCTGTACAGTTTTTTTCCTCCATCTTGCAACTGAGGAAAAAAATGCAATTACAGGACCCCATGTCTGTCTATGGCAGTGGTTCTCAACCTCTCTAGGGCCAGGACCCCTTGGTAACATTTGCCAAGTTGTGGTGACTCCCAATGGAGCACTGGACTCAGGACTTAGTAACGCACTGGACTCTGAACTTAGTAACGCACTGGACTCTGAACTTAGTAACGCTCCGATCTATCTGGAGACCGTGGGCCGCTTTTCGAAGCACAGATGCTTACCTTCGGGTGATGACCGCAACATCCACCTGAACCCTACTATGGGTTTGCGGTGTGCACGCCTGACCCACAAACCCCACTACTCCCAACCAATCCTAGCTCTTTCCTGCCCCCCCTCCTCCCCCCTTCCTCTCTCTATCTGTCATTCCTTCTAATCTAGCTCTTGCCCCTCTTCCTCTCGTCTCTCTCTTTGCTGCCACACTCACACCATACCTTGTCTTGTACTTTGACGTGAGAGGAAACACTGCTCGATACAAGTATGATCTATTCTTAGCAGTTGCTCTTATACCTAATTTACACAGGACCGGAGTGGCACACAGCGCCTGACTCCGAGAAGTGCTGGCTATGTATGATGCAATTTTCCGTTCATTATCTTTGTTGCACCAGACAGGGTTGCTCTGGCCCTACAATGGCTGCTCTACTAGGACTAGCAGCCCATTCATGTTATATTGTGTGTGATACAACTGATGCAAACCTCCCATCCCAGCTCTGTACTGGAGATGTTATACATGTGAGGCATGGCCTCCTGTCCTATTGTAACTTGGATATGTACAATAAAGCTGATTTATGATTTAAAAGAAAAAAAGAACTTAGTAACGCAATGCACTGGACTCAGAACTTAGTAATGCGCTGAACTCAGTAACGCACTGAACTCTGGACTTAGTAACGCACTGGTCACAGGAGTTAATAACGCATTGGTGTCAGGAGTTAGTAACGCACTAGACTTAGTAACGCACTGGACTCAGGCATTAGTAATGCACTGGACTAAGGAATTAGTAATGCACTGGACTCAGGAATTAGTAACGCACTGGACTCAGGAATTAGTAACGCACCGGACTCAGGAATTAGTAACGCACCGGACTCAGGAATTAGTAATGCACTGGACTCAGGAATTAGTAGCGCAGGACTTAGCAAGGCACTGGACTCAGAACGTAGTAACACACTGGACTCAGAACTTAGTAACGCAACGCACTGGACTCTAAACTTAGTAACGCACTGAACTCTGGACTTAGTAACGCACTGGTCACAGGAGTTAGGCCTTGTTCACACCAAGCGCAGAGCAGTCACAGACCGGAGCAAAACTACGTCCAATGTATCCCAATAGTATTTTTAGCTCCAGTTCACATCGCAGCGTTCAGTTCCAGAGCAGGTTAAAAAAAAACTGGAGCAGGGCCTATTTTACATTTTACGCATGTAAATGCATCAAAAACGCAGCACAACCCACTGCGTGTGCAGAAACCTGAGCGGATCTGCTCTGCATTTGGTGTGAACAAGGCCTTAGAAACGCACTGGTCTCAGGAGTTAGTAACGCACTGGACTAAGGACTTAGTAACGCACTGGGCCCAGAACTTAGTAGCGCAACGCACTGGACTCAGAACTTAGTAACGCACTGGACTAAGGACTTAGTAACGCAGGACTTCTGTGCTGTGGTAACATCTGATCTGCAGTGCCGTTTGTGTACGTGTTGCGATAAATTATGCATACATTTAAAGCAGAACTCCAGGAATTTTTTTAATTAACCCTTGCAGTGATGTCTAAGTGCTAAAATAGCAAGGAAATACTCATCCAAAGTTCTGAGCTGGCCAGCTGTCACGGCGCTCCCTCCAGCCTGTCCCCAGTGTCCTCACATCTATGGACAGTGTATAGCCATGATGATTTACTAACCTTAGGCTG